TCTAGTGTAGGATTAAAATAGAGCACTGAAGCTAAGGAAGCTGGCAAGCTAAGGGATACAGGAGATGTTTCTAAGTAATACTATTGGCTTTAAAGGTATCTTTAAAATTTTTCTCTTACACCCTGCCAGGAGAATAAATGCAGACCTGTGACCATGCCTGAAGATGAACATGCTAAGTTTGTGCCTTTCTACACCTTGGTATTCAGATCCTGTACTAGCTGTGGTTAAGCCTTGCTTCTGGAAACTTTCTTGCTGGTGAAACTACAGATGTTAACAATGACAGGTTCTCTTTCTTCTGTTGTAATTTCTAACAGAGAAAAAAGCCTTTGTCCAGCTTAGATGGTATTGTTTGATCCTCCATGGATGACTGTTTCCTACTTTTGTCTCAGTCCTTAGAAGTAAATTACACTAACTGATTTCAGGAGTTAATTCAAGGACCAAAGTGACATTTTCTTCTTAAAAAGTAACTAAGCAGTTACTTTTCACTGTTTTTTCAGTGAAAAGTTAGAATTTTCTACTCATGTCTCCAGTTTGAAATTTGAGTGATGTACAGTAATTCTCAGCCAGGCAAGCTCTTTGAAATATAAAGTGGACTCAGGTTGTTACTAAGCTTTTTTAAAGCAACTGTTTTATTATTAATATGCTTTTAATACTATCTCTCTGATTGCTTTAAAGACTGACTACAATTTAAGTTAATGCAAAGACATTAAAAGGCTGCCTTTTAAATTTTTAACGGGAATAAAAATGTACACAGAGCATGGACTGTATTGAACTATCTGGATCTGATCTACAAACAAGCTAATACCATTTCACACTTTGTTTTAAATATTTTGTTAGAAGTCACAGATGCTTCTGTTGTGTATCTTTTTTAGGTGCTCTAAATACCAGTTAAATGATCTTTTAGAAGTTTCCAAAAAGCTGAGACCAAATTTCCACCCACATGAAAGATGCTGGGAAAATGAAAAATGGAGACTAATTAATTTAAATTGCAGCTAATCCCCCCAATATCTACAAAAACAAAATCATCAAATAAAACTAACCAACCAGACAAAACCAAACCCACCCCAAAATCACACCAAAAAAAACCCCAACCATTCCCAAAACATGTCAAAAAACACTGGAGAAATGGAAGCAGAGGAGAGAAAAATAAAGTAGATTGAAATACTGGCTTTCTTCTCTTGCAGAAAGCTATAATGCACTTGGTTGTGGGAGATCAGACAGCTACAGAAGCTGAGCTGGGTAGTGCCACTGACATTTTGGCCCTGGTACTGTGAAAGCCAAGGGAGAGACAAACTCAAGGCAAGAACAGAAGTGAAGGCATTGTCTCTGGTGATGCTACTGCTCTGATGAGAGAAGAGATAACAAGGACATTGCTTGGCAAAAGAGTCTAACAAGGACATTACCAGTGTAAGAGGGATTATCGGGAAGATTGTGTTTCTGAAGGGGACTGGGACAAAAAGGTCTGAGTGGAAAATTTTGTGCAAATGTAGTGACCTATAAATACTGGTAAACTGTGTAATAAACTAGCCTTGCTTTGCTGGCATAGCAGAGTCTGTGTCTGTCAATCTGTGCAAATGGTGCTTTCCGTGCGAGGAGGCGAAGGTTCGCCTGTCTGGCTGCCTGGCAGGGCACTTGTGGACTAAAAACTGTCAAGAAATTCTGCTTCAATTGTCAGCAGTTTGAGATGTGACGTTTTTGACTGGACTTATCACCTGGCTGTAGCTCAAATGGAGAAGTGAAAAGCCAGTTATCTGACAGGGTGAATTTGACTTTTAGCTGGTTTATACTGTGTTACACTTGTGAAGTGTAGAAAAACAACAAACAAATGTGCTTGTCTACTTAAAGCAAAATTTTTTTTCCATTGTTTTCTTCTTTTCTTCCTGTTTCATATTTAGCTATTCAATCCCATAAGTACAGGAATTTTGCAGCAGAACAGTAACTTTGCTCACTGACATGGACCACCTATTTTGAAAATGTGAATCTCTTAAAACATTGCATTTGCCACATGTTCATTATAGTTGATAAAACCCCTTTTTGCTGATTTTATTTCAAAACAGAAGTAGTGATTTAATGAAGTTTCCTGCATGCTTTAAAAAAAAAACACACACAACTCTTTCTCTGAACAATGTAGATCTGTAGAACAATCTAAGATCTCTAGAGCTTTAGGAACATGGGATGATGTTGCTAACTTCTAATATGACCCTCCTTCCTTTTCAGATAATTCTCCTGATCCTGAACTAGTTCACATAACTACAAGTGAACTCAGGAAATTCAGAGAGGTCTAACATCACAGGCTTGAAGGTCTGCAACACCTCTCAGCTATCAGGATTTGCAGAAAAATGTTGGCTGTCACTCCAGATCTCATAGATGAATCCCAGCAGACCAGATTTGTAACCTGTTGGGATAAGCTATGCCTCAAATTTTTCAAGCACGAGAAACAAACATGGGGAGGACACTGCTGGTGCTGCCCAGTCTCTGGAATGCATGTGTTGGCAGAAGAGCAGGGAAGTGTGCCTGCAGTTTCTGACTAAGAGATGACCCAGAGGATCTACTATTGTCCTAAATGGATGCACCACAGAGCATGCATGTGAGTTATAGATGTTCCTAATCAGTCTAATCTAATCTGTAATGGAGAAAAACCAATTATCCTTTACTATCCGTCTGGAAAAAAAGCTGTATGTCTACACACTTGTGATTTGTTCCTATGCACCTATGATTACACGTATGAGGGTATGCCACACCTTACATGTTAACAGGATTATTGACTAGGAAAAGCAGTTAGCAAAAAAAATATTCTGTACTTTGGCAATCAAATATTTCTCTGCACGTTAGATAGAATATGAGACATATCCAGGAAACTGAACCAACTTATTTAATGAGCTGCTTTATTAAATTTTTATCCAAAAACAACTAAAAAATAGGTTTCTTCTCTTTAGAAATTAGAATCTCTATCCAGCTCAGAGTAGAAGATGACTTTGAAGTAGACAAAACAACAAAGTATGGCAGAGAAAATATACTTCTAACTATTGCAGTGAAAACATGGTTATAAACAGTAGTGAGGTTCATTTTCTTTTTTTTCTTCTTTTCAGTTTGGCTGTAATGAGCATTGTTTGGAGATCATAGGTTGTTTTACTCTCCTGATGAGTCAAGACAAGAGAGGAGAGCTTCTGAGCTGGGACCTGCAGTAGCTTCCAAGTGTGAGTCATAGTCACTGGGGTGTCTTTTCTCTGCATTTTCTGGGAATCACAGAGTCAAGAAGCCTTGCCACAGACATCATCTTTACCAGGAAGTCCTGATCTAAAACAAGAAATGACAAAGATCGAGGGTTCATCAACCAACAGGAGTGCAGACAACTTCAAAAGTAACTGAGTTTGGATTGCTGTGAATACTTGGCTGAGAGGAGACAGTAAGTATTATTCACTCATTTGTTATCATTGTTAAAAAAAATGCCTAGAAATAAGGAATATGGGGATAAGTGTGAATATATCCGCTGTGCTCAGCCTCATCCTGGGAAATAAATGAATGAACATATCCTGTTAGAGAAGAGTGGAGATATGAGAGGACCGTAAGAACTTCCTACTTCTATTGAGGAATTAGTGGCAGCTACTACCTCTTAGCATTGTCTGGTGCAATCTTATGCAGTTTACACCTTGCAATCAGGTACTCACTAATGTAGTTTTTGTGCTTTTCATCCCTGAAGATTGAATAATTGGAGGGGTTTTGTTGTTTTTACCCTACATCAGGAATCCCAACAGTATTCTTCCACTTTCCCTTGTGCCTGCGCCAAGCAATTTGTGGTGTAATTTGTAGGAGTTGTATGCTGTCCAGAATGTGCTACGCTAATTCTTCATCTCAAGAATGCCATAGTACAGTGTCTTTCTTTTAATTAACTGTGATGTCAGCTTCATGTAGGAGGCAAACTCACAGCCTGTGAGTTGAATCTTTAAATTTCTGATCCAGGAAAGAGAATCACAGCATGCACAGGCAAGCAGTATTTGATATAGCTATAAAAATTTCCATGAGTTTGCTCTTCGAAGATAGAAACCTGAACAACACTTACAGGAACTTCTATTTTTTTACTGTCATAAGGCCTGGTCTGCACAGAATAATAAGAATGCTGTGCACACAAAGCATAGGAATTTGCCATTAGAAAATTGATTTTCTGAATAAAATTTAAATTGTCTCAAATTATTTCTAAGTATTGAAAGAGAATGAAGTATAGGGATGGAGAAAAAAAAATTAGCAATCCATTGGAGATGGTGTTCATTTCTCATAGTTTAGGTGAATCCTATAAGAAAAAGTTAAGAAAATTTAGAAATAGAGTCCATCATTCCCAGAAATTTGCAGGAGAATATCACTGGTTTCACACTTCTCCTGTCTGACTAATGTTCAATTCTGATCCTTCAAAAGGTGTTGAAAAGTTTCTCCAAGTTTTCAAGTTGCAAAGCCATCACAATTCCCTTAATAACACACAATAAGGATGTTGTTTCTATGGCTTCATATGCTGCAATTTACATGTCTCTCTATAGTCTTCTGAGAGGAGTAACAGGAATGCTTTTCTTTGGAAGTAGCTTCATGCATGGGACAAAATGATGCTAAATTTTTTATTTGCAAAAAGAGGCAAAACTGAAGTAAAACTGACGACCCAAACAAAAGATATCCAACAAAACAGCTCATTCATCTGAACACAGTGACCCACTTAGTTCTTGGTTTGGCACCTAGCTCAGAACATATCTGTATTTTCTTAGGAAATTAATAGGCTTTTTTTTTTGTTCCTTGATGATCACACTGAATGTGGGAATTGGGACTTTTGAGCCTCTGGATTCGGCTAGGGCATGCTTATTAATCTGGCAACTCTTTCTGACAGGCCATCCCATGGGCCCACTGGTTTTGCACTCATTACCCACTACTCAACACCAAGACTAAAAGTTAGACTGGTGAACCCTTGGGAATGCCTGGAATTCAATGCCTTAAGCAGTTGTCCTCTGTTACAGGGGGTGATCTCTGCAGTATTCCTTCAGCCTCACGGAAAATATAATTAAATGGCTAAAACTTCTGCAAATTTTCCAAGTCTTATGGTGATCCTGGATCTCTTCTCTGGTACAGGTAATACATACAAAGTGTCTTTCAGGTGACAAAATAAATGATTAACAAAGTCTAGGATTACTCCAAGACATGTATTTGTTATTCATATTCACCCTTTATAGGGGTCTTCAAATTGCATAGAGCCCACCTCTTCTTTCACGAATCTAGCAATAATGCTTGTTCCTGTTTTCAGATACAACTTTTCTTCAGAAATTACCTACATTTTGAAGTAAAATCAAAAACTCTTCTGCCATGTTTGCTTGCCTTCATATGAAATATCTCTCAAATTACAGTACAGCATCTTTTGCTTTGCTATAAGAAAAATATTTTGAAGATTGTGAGTATTGATAGTTCCCGATGACAATGTTCATAAAAACATAGACGAGAAGTAGGATATAATTCCTGTAGTTAGCTGTGACATTTATAAGATTGTGCAGTTTAAATATAATGCTATGGAACATTGTTTCATGTTCTGTTTCAATCAAGTAAGATGATTTTAGTAAGCAAAATTGGCAAGTAGAAATCTTTTCCTTGAGATGAGCTAGATTAACATCTTCAACATCCAGTTACATCTTTTTGCTTCAGCTTGTTTTCAGAGGGGTTACCATGACACAAAAGCAGGATAAGTCATTGCTGAGTCAGGCCTTTTGTCTTACTATATTTTTGTGAAAGCACAGTTTTTAGCACCATTATTGCCAGACAAAGAGATAATGACACTGTCGAGATAGATAGTTTTGAATCTTCAGCACAGCCTGACTTACTCCAGTGCCCCAGGCCTCTATTAAGAGCAGTCCAGCATTATTCCTATGTTTACATTTGGCATACTACTCTTATTATTTGGTTTGTTTTCCTTTAATCAGGGTTCAAAATCCTATTGTATTCCCTTATTACTTTACATTTCTCACAGAGTGCTGTCACACTCAGCAGTCAAAAAGCATGAAAAACCTCAAAATAATTGACCTTCTCATACTGAGATTGAGCTTAAAAGTCAAATGGTCAATTAAGTGCCTGTAACAACACATTGAGCAATTTTTCAGTTAGGAGCATCCACTTTCACAGTGTCTGAAATCATCTGGGCCAATGTACACCACATAAATAAAAAGCTAAGGGATGTTCTGTGAGACAAGATCCCCTTCTATAAAGAGAAGACACACAAGAAGTGGCACAGAAAATGGAGTGAACATCTTCATTTTACCCCCTCACTACTCCAGAAAGGCAGTATTAATTTTAAATGCAGGAAAAATTCTGAAAACTTCTCATTTAACATAATGGCAAACAACTTTTGACTCAATCCTGTATTTACACAAGCATGAAAATGACTTTAAAAATAAGTGCTATGTCAGAGGTTTGGTAATTAGGAGATGATATTGGGCATCACCAGGGTAAAAGGTTAGAACATTAGCATGCCACTGAAAGTCCATTATTTACAGCAGAGTTTATACTGCTTTATTTAATATGACTTTAGATGTGCCAGGTGTTGGTACATCCAGCAATGTTCTCATGGGAGACCAACAATTCTACAGCCAACAATTATCACTCTGGGGCAAACAGTCTCCACTCTTCCCTGCCCTTGCCAGCTTGCCAACTGAACACAGCTGAGTCAGCTTTGTGTTCTCTTTTCAGGTAGCTTGTTAAGTCCCCTTGATTGATCTTGATTGATCAAGATGCTCTTGATTTTGCAGGGTCTTCCTGTGTTTAGCCTCAAGTCAGAAGCATTGTCAATTTTTTTTCTTTTCTTTTGTCTCACAATACTGAGGCAAAAAAATCCCAATTCTCTAAGTTGTCTAAAGTGACAATTGAACAGCTTCCTCATTTTACCTGAGTTAACTAGCATGGATAATGTTCAGGATGTGCAGAAATATGTGTTAATGCATATGGTGACTCCACAAAACCGCAGTAGCCTAAGGTGGAAGAAATACTATCCATTTTAAAAAGAGACAGCACTCTTTTTTACACTTTTGTACAAGTTTTTAATCGAGACATTGGTCTTCATATGACTCTGAACTCTCAGCAATCATTCTAGGTAATCAGAACAGGAACTTAATTCAAAAGCAGCAACAGCCAAAACATATTTTCATGGCTGCTGCTTTGCTTGCAAAAGGATGTGATTTCTGTTTTGTCAGCTTTAAAGGGTTTGCCTCCTTTGTGCTTATGGTCTGCATTTCTAGGTCAACAGAAGTAACACAGTGTGTTTGTGATCTTGAATAACTTTTACAAAATACTACTTGTACCAGTGACTTCTGGGATTGTGTTACCACACTAATTCTCTAAATAGCATAAATATATTACATAGGCTTTTTAGACAACAAAAATGCTTGGGAAGAATAATCCTAATGGTTATATATTATTGTAAACAAAAGTGTTTTGTGTATATACTAGTCTATTATTAATTGAATCAAAAATGCGTGTTGTTGTACTGTCACTTATCATTTGTGTTATCATTGTTTATTTCTTCAGTATCTTAACTTTAAAATTAAATGCAAATTTTACAAATCTAGGTACAACTAAGGAAGCAAGGCAAACTATTTCTTTTAACTTCAGGTCAAAAAACCAGAACAGAAAAACTTAAGCAGTCATACAAGTATTAAAAACCTTGTGCAATTTGCATATCATCTTAATGGTGAGTTTTACATATAAGTTTTGCATATCATCTTACTGATTAGTATTTCCTTCCTTGGTTTTCAGAATAGAAACATTCTTTTCCACACATGCCTAAGTCTGCTAAGTGAAATGAGCTCCTGAAACAAACTTTAAAGGTCTGAAAAGATTTTTTTTCAGCCATACTAGATGTATTGTGTCAACTCAATCCCATTTTTTTTGTTAGTTCTCCTACCACATAGAAAGTTACACTGAAGCTGCAGTGAACTTCCACGTACCCAGATTTAACAAACCGCAGAATTTATCATCCATGTACTTCAGTCCTTTGACCCACATTCTGTGGTCAATTAATAAATTGAGTCTGTAAGGTTGTTTCACACTGGGATTGAGTAAGGATGACAAGGAGAGGGACCTACATCAGTGGTTTCCTTTCACAGTACACTTAAATACCATCAAATCCACAATCAATGGCAATGAACACACATGTTTAGCCAAGCTTTTAACCTTTTAGCCATCAGGCCGTGTGCCTTTCAGGAAACACCGCTTGTGGTTCAAACTGCATGCAAGGGATTGTGTCCCTCCTAAATGTTCTTATGACCAGAATCTCTGGGTTGATGAAGGCCTGGAAATATCTTTAAATACTCCTCTGTCTCTCAAATTAAAAAAAAAAAAAAAAAAAAAAAAAAAAAAAAAAAAAAAGTTGTAGGAACTGCTATGTAAGAGTCATTCCATGAAACAAATCCAGTCAAAACACCATAAATAGTGATGGAGAAGAAGACTAACCACTTCTCAGTGACTCGTCTGGGGCCACCCAAGATCTAATGTGGGTAAATATGCAACATGATGTAGGACACGAGACACCTTCCATCAAAGAAATGATAGGAAAAATAACCCTTTTTTTTTAAACATAGGTACCTTGGCCTTCAAGCATAGTCAGACAAGTGGAAAGAACTGGAAACACCTGGACCAGGCTTGGTGAATGCCTTGTAGCTGCAGCAGAATCTGGACTGGACCAGTAACTTGGGATGCCAAAAGTGAAAGAGAGAGACTCAAATCCAGCTGTGAGTTACTATCACCTGTACTAAAGGGCAAAACCAGCACATGAATTGGATTTGGCCATCTGTGAACCCTGACTTTGGAAAATTATTCTTCTCTACAAAATACTGGGAAATCCCTGGCTGGTATGACTGTACAAAGTTCTAATGAGGCATAGACATGTGCCAAGAAGAAGAATGCTGCACAGAAGGTGTTTCATTCTGACTGTAGGAGCTAAAAGAAAATGAAATGTGGGGTTTTGAATACTGGTGAGGACAGAAGAAGAGAAGAAAGGATTCCTGGGGTAGATAAATGAAACCAACAGGCATTGGCTACAAGAACATGAGCTTTTAAGCTAGATTTCAGAAATTACTTTGCTTCCTGAGGGCTTTGCTTCATTGGTTAAAATAGGTGCATGTGTTTGAGTAGCTGGGATTCAGCAAGAAAACACCAATCAATTACTCTGAAAGCATGAGACTCCCCAGGGGCAGAAACCAAAGGCAAAAACTGGGCTGTTACAGGTATGTGTGTGTGTCTTTTAACACACTTTGTTGTTGAACAGCTACATCTTTGGCAAAAGAATTCTCCTACATGTAGACTTGATGAAGAATCATCTGCTTGAATCAAGACGAAAACAAAATGTTACTGGCTATTAGTCAGTGAAATTAATCTTGTAAATATACAAACCTTATTGGAATGTGATACACATGGAATTGAAGGGGATTTTGCCCACTGTTTTTCTGGCGAACGCTCCTTCATATCTTTTAATTTCATTGGCAGAGATAAAAAATAATAAGGACTTGTAATCAGGAAATGGCTTCTGTGGGGTGGGATGATCAAGGAGATTCACTTAAATATATGCATCTGGAATAAAAGCTTCCACATCTAGGTAGTCACCTTGCGATTAGTAGAGAAAAAGGTACTTTCAGGAGATGATCCATCTAACATGGATCAGATTTTACTGTAGGGTGAGATATTTTGACCGTTGTCCATCTTTTCTGATTAGATGTAAAAGAAACATAGAGTTATGCTGTTTAGAGAAATTCTAAATGTAGTAAGATAAATCCTGGCACTAAAGTCCTCCTCTGCTGCTAAGGAAAATCTATCTTCTTCGGAATGTAGTAATTCTTCAGGAGAGGTCTTCAAAAGCAGATTAGAATGAGCACAGCTAAGAAAGGCTGTGTTTGATATCAACAGGTATGAGATTTAATATCAACTTCTGGATTTTTCCCCTTCTTTTCTAGGTGTGGGACCAAATTAGTAACACAATATGAGAATTTTTGGCTGCAGAGATAAGTGGTCAGTGGTACTTGTAAGGAGTAAGTTAAATGTGGAATGCCAACCTCATCTCTTAAATGTGGGGAGCAATGAATCCACAGTAAATGTTTCTTTTCTCTGCTACAGGGTGAGTTCATCTCCTGTTATTTTATCTCCTTGTCTGTCCAGCTGGGATGGACTAAATTCTGAAGTAGCTGAAGAGATAGAAGATCTAGAAAAAACCTGAACACTGCAGCTGCTGTGCCTCTGGTGTTGTTAGTTACCTTACCCATGTATTTGTATTTACCTTAAAAGTTTAGAAGAAGCCCTATGACATGAATGAGGTGTGGCATCTGACAGTAGCAGCCCTGGAAGAAAGAGATGCCATTAGGAGATACTTCTAATGGGAACAGATCCCAAAAAGCATTGCCTATGTAAATGACAAGTAAAAGTACCAGCCTCTGGAGAGAGGTGTCCCTCAGGTAAGATTAGTAATAAAACTGCAAATGATGGAGTAAAACCAAGTATTAACTGACTTATGTTGATGAATTTGATAGAAGGTCCTTTATGCCCTGTAATTTGTGGATCAAATATCGAAGTGAAAATACATTTAGTGAAAACTGAGGCATCAATATGATGTGTTGACAAAAAAACCCTAATCAACAAGAACAACACAGGAAGATAATAAAATCAAGTATTTTGGGCATGAATAGAATTCCTAACAAGAATTTTCTTACATCTAAGAAAGATAATATTTTCAAAAACCTAAAGCAAATTCCTCTGAAAGTAGGTATAAACTTTTGCTACATTGTAATTTCAAGCTAACAGATGGCACATGAGGCCAAAGCAAAAAAGTGCAACCCAAACAGGATTTAACTGCTGAGGACTAAGCTGTGCATGATAGGTAAGCTTCAGTTAAGGTGATAAGATTTTTCACCAACTTCAGCTTCTGGACCTAGGTTGTAAGGTGAATTCGCCTTAAATGCCTGTGAATACTGACAGCAGTCAACAGTTCAGCATTGTTTCTGCACAGAATTGTACATAATGTGCTTAATCCAACTGGTCCAGCTGCTTGGGGGAGGCAGCTGGACGCTGCCTTACCTAGACATTTGACTAAGGTACCAAACCCACAGAGACTGATTTAAGTTAATACTTTCAAAACCCAAACATTTCCAGACTTTAAACTTTTCTTGCATTTCTTGTTACCAGAATGATGACTATCAGCTCTTTCTTTGACTCAGAGGCACAAGACAATATTGCTGAACTTAGAAAACTAACACCAAATGGTGCTTCTTAGCTGGACATGACCATGTGAAAAAACAGTGTTATCTAAATCTTGTAAGAAGGATTTATAACTGATGACGGTACATCTTAAAATGTCTCCTGCTCTGTATGGTTGCTGTTGGAAACTGAGTGGAAGTACCATAGAAACCTGCAGAACATTATGTAAGAGAGTCCCTCATGCCCTGTGAGCAATTCTAGGTGTTGTGGAGAGGAGAAGACTCTGTAGGAAAGTACAAAAAGATCAGAAAATCTTGGTGGCCCCTAAAGGCTGTGGAAACCACAGAAAATAATCAGCAAGGGTGTGGCTTCATGAGTAGTTGAGGCAGGGAGAGGATGTAGGGAGACAGAAGGCTGAAAAAAGTGTTAAAAGGGCTCTGCACAGCCTCCATGCTAGAATATACCCTGAAAATAATCTTGAATCTTGAGGAAAGCCTCCAGAAGATAGCAGAGTGACTCTGCAGCAAACTTGTCAATATGTTCTTTTAAGTCAGGCCAGAGAGTGGCTGTCAGCATCAAGAAATTATTCCATAAACAGTGGACAAGATGGACATTGTTTGGGAGCAGAATAATTTATTGTACTGCAAAGAAATTACCAGATCTTTTATAAAATTTCTCCCGTTTTTGTCTTACTAGCTCTTTAAAAGTTAATGTAATGTAAATTATTCTATTGTATAGAAGCTGCACAAGCTATGTAAAATGTAACTAGACACAGGAAGAGTCAAACAGGAAACAGAAACTGTTAACAAGTATTACATTTACGTAGTATTATCTCTAGTACCAATATTCTTAAAAAAGGGAGAGAAAAATTAAGCATTGTCCTGTACACGTGATTTTCAGTTAGATGAAGATTGGATTTACCAAGACATTCACAGTATATTATTCATAAGTGGAATAATTACCTCCTTTTACAGCTGCTATACCAACCATCAGGATCTGTCAGTCCTAAATCGATCAGCTGGAAGCAATTGATTTCTGACCTCCTAGGTCTCTCCTGGTTTGACTGCTTATCACTGCTCATGGCTGTTATCTGTGCCATTGTGACAAGAGGCAAGCTCAGACCTCATCAGTAGTTTTGGAACACAATTACTGTGTCCTCTGTATGCTATCAACAATGAACACAACTGTACAAGCTGTATTTCCCTTTGGAGAAACAGGCTTTATAATGAGATTTGCTCTCTGTTAGAATGAAACACAAACTAGCACAACCATGATAAGCATATCTGCATCAAAACCCAAATGATATCTATCTTGAGCAATAAATTACTGAGCTTTCTTTCTTCACGTCCCTGTATTTCCTACGGCCCAGAAGGACAAGGAGTCAAAAGTCATAACTACAAGCAATGCACAATGTTATATAGTCTGTGTGAATGTAAATGATAAGAGCAGCTGTAACTCAGTAACTTGTGCTAAATTAAGCCAGCTTGCAATGTTCCAGTAACTAAATTTTCAGATGACTGATGATTTTGGATGTTTTAAATTAGCGTCCTAGAGACTGTTTTTTGGGAGTCCTTCTTTGTCTTTTTTTTTCCTTTATCTTATTTTACATTGACTACTCTAAAGGAAGATTCAGAATATCATTGGCTCAACATGGCCAAAAAATCCTTACAGTTTGGACAGCTTTTAAATGGGGAGAAAACTGACAAGTGGCTGTCAGATTTTTATTATGTTGCCATTTGCCACCTGTGTAATCCTTGTAATTGGAAAGAAGCGTGATTTGTACAACAAAATACGTACGTGCAAACAGACCTGTAGAGAGTCAGCTGAGTTATCTGAGGAAGAAATTACGTCTATGAACCGAGGAAATCCATGCAATTGATTCAAACTTAACCTGAACAAACACTGTTTGGAAATTACCCAGCAAAAGAGAACATTGGTGCTGATCAGTTGCTGAAGTCCTACAGATAGGCACACCATTTATGTTTGGTACGAGGTATCCAATGTCGTGAGTGGATAGCTGCAGAATCAACAAGCTGCACTGTTTGTCTGGCTACACAGAGACTCACAACAGTGATGGATGAGACAGGCTGATTCTGAGGTAGGAGCCCACAGTGACAATGTGCAGGGAAGGGATAGGCAGGGATACAGGACAAGGCAGGGGTGAGGAGGAGGGGAAGCCCAATTGGGCATGTGGTGGAGGAAGAAGCCTTTCCAAGTCTGTTTCAGTTCTACCACCTTCAGGATGATGTTTGCATTCACACATTACCAGAAAGGTACTGGTGGAATCCTGTCAGACAGAAAAAAAGAATGTTGACTTGTACTTCAGCAGAAAAAGGACATCCATTGCTCTTTACAAGCAGTACTTTTACCACCCCCTCAAAAATACTCCTTTTTTTTTTTTTTTTTTTTTTTTTTTAATAAAGGAGAAGGCTCCTTCCATCCAGTCTTTGATGTGATTTCTTACTGATGGAAAGAAAGTAATGCTAGTCTCATAGCAAATGTGACCAAGCTCGACCAGAACACTATGATTAATACCTTGAGCCATCAAACAGACAGGTTATGGGATGAGAGGCTGGATAAGTGTCTTATCTGCGTCAGGTCATGGGGGAGGCCACAGCTTCAAAACCCTGTGAAGATTTGAAAAGTGGCTGTTCATGGTATGAACAGTGTCTCTTAGGAGAGTGATTGTCCTTTTGAGAAGATCTCAGGTAGACATCTCAGGCAATATTAAACTGGACCCAACCAATTAAATCTTCAGATCCTCAATGGATTCCTTGTTTAATAGAAACATGGTAGTTAATAAGCTTTTCCTTCCCTTTTCCTCTTTTTTCTCTCCTTCCCAAAATAAAGAGATGTGCTGATTTTCTTGAGCACAAGGTGGCAGGATTCAGCTTCACTTTAAAGCCAATGAAGGCTGAGCAGTGCTTCAAAGTGATAAGGTAAACACACTATTAAGAATGCAAAATGGGCCAGGATGAAGTAGCTAGATAAATCTGCAAATAGGTGGAACACTGGAAAGATTAAAATGTAGGCTAAAACACTTGGAGAGTGCCTCATGTTTGGAGGAAATTCAGAAAAGTGTTTATGTGGAAGCTAAATTTTGTCATTTAGGGAAAAGATGTGGGATTTCATATAAGAGAAGCAGGTACACCTCAGTGTAGTTGTCAGCCCAAAAGATGTTGTCAACTGGAGTTCACAGGCTTGCTCTGAGTCATGGTACAGACGTCTGTCTCAGACCACAGTTCTAGCTTGAACGCAAGAACACCTTCCTGTGAAAAGTTTCATGGGAATTGGGGTATTTCGCTGGAAAACAAAATGTTTCTGAAAAGGTCATGAGCTCTCCAATCTCTCCTTCTTGTAAGAGCTATAAATTCTCAAATTGTAAGTAAAGTTTAAGCAGTTTATTTCTGCACAGTTTTGGTAAGACTGGTCTTTGAGTATACATTCCTTCGGATGGGATAGGATACCATAACACGCACACACACAAATTAAGTGGCCTTTACCTGTTCCCAGACTCTGTGGTAATAATAATTCCTTATTCCTCCACCTAAATAATGGTACTTTCACAAGGAGTCTTTGAGTTTTCAGCTCCTACCTCTTTTCCAGAAATACATGTTTAAATCTTTACAGATAGTTACTGTAATTTCTATGCTGTGACATATTCTTTATGTATGGTGTACAAGTTAAAGTTTCAAAACTTTTGAACTAATCAAACACTCAACTTTAGAACAGCGATTTCAAGCAAACAGTGAGTTTTCCAGTATGTTCAGGTTTTCCTTGTATTATATTCAGATGAATGTTCTCCCATAACTTTATCTATGTCAGTAAAATAAAAATGGGCTAAGAAACATGTATTGCAAAGGAACAGAATTTCTGGGAAGTCATTGATTTGTTTTCACCTGCCTAAGGCAAATCTCTTTACCAGCTCCAAAGAGGTTTACCTCACCTGCTCTGAGAAGGCTCTATTACTCAAGATTGAGTGTTCTCTGAAGTGATCTATTTGCTGCACTTAACTGTGCTTTTCAAAAGTTTTCATGATGTCAAACATGAATCTGCCTTGTTGTAAATCAAGTGTATTAATCCTTGTCCTATCCTAGAGCCAAAAAATATTACCTGTCCTTGTTATATATTTCAGGGGTGTTATTGAACTTCCTGTCAGTTCTTTCATGAACTGAAGAAAGTGAGTTCTTTCAATCTTGACTCAATTCATATTTTCGAGTCCTCTGATCACACTCTATAGCTTTGTAATATTTTAAAGTCTTTGCTATAATTTTACCACCTTCAGGATGATGTTTGTTCTTGCAGCATTACCAGAAAGCTGCTTGTCTTTATTGGTTTAGTTGTGGCTCTCCCTTAAGTACTGATTCATATTGTGGCTCTCCCTTAAGTACTGATTAATAGGAAGTACTTGAGTATTTTAAGTTCTTTTGTACTTTCTTGAATCTGTGAGAAAAATATGCACACTTAACATAGAAAAAAAACTTGTCTATGTAGAGATGAAGTCATGATTTACCACCAAATTTCTTTGTACGGCTACCCTTTAGTAATTTTAGAATTTAAAGACTCACAGCAGGTGAGTCTTTAGAAAGGGCTGCTGTGCCTGTAGAAAGGGCTGCTGCTTCTCCCACTAAGGCAGCAATGTATTTCTTGATGGAGCATTCCATAGCTTTCATTTTGAGAACTTTGGTGGCCTGAAAATATTACACTTTCAGTTTGTTTCTTCCCACATTCTTCTCCGAGTCAATTTTGGTAAAATACTAATTTTAGGGAGAAAATAGATTTTTAACAGTATTTGGCAATTTTACCATCATATTTTCAAGCCTGGTAATTTTGGCATTGTCATGTAGAAATCTCTGCATCTCAAACCTTCTAAGACAAGATTCCTGTACAGTTCAGCAAGACTCCTATGAGAAATATTTTGAATTGCAGCAAACATAACCTGATGTTTACCACAACAGGTGATAATACCCTTTTCCAAGTGTTGCCTCAAGTTTTATTTAACACTGGTCTGCAGCCTTACGAATATATGATCTGGCCTACAGAACTTTACTCTTTCAACACTATTGAATTATCTAATTAGCCAATTTGATCCAACTGCATGGTTTTATCCAAAACTTTTTTGACAACTCCTCAATTTCACTGATTCCTGTGAAAGAATAATGTTCAGTAGATGCTAATTAGTATATATGCTGATTCAGTATATATGATTAGACTGATGTGAGCTTGTTGCCATAGAATCATTAGGACGGTTAAAATGGGTATTTATTGCCCTAAAGAGGTGATGTCTTTGTGTTTCTCCAGGAGAGAGAGGGGGAATAAAACACATTTTCCAGAGCTGTAAGGAGACTTGGCTGGAGAACAGTAATGTGGGTGTTGCAGCAACTTACAAAATTTACTTTAAAATTTTAAAATTTTATTTCTATCTTGCATTAAGGCTCTTTCTTAAGATCTTTTCTAATTTGAATCATATTGCAGTTTATGCTATTAATTTTTCTTTCTCTTTCCTCCAAATTCTTTAAAAATCACCATTTTTTCCTCTGGAAAATTGCTGCATGACATTTTAATTTTACTTGTTACCCTTCCATAAATATTTTGTTCAGAGAAATACTTTACTTCAAAGTGCTGAACTTCACAGAGAGGCAGTATATTCGGATTATCTATACCACAATTTTACTTAAACTTCAAAACTTTGGTTTAAAAGTATCATGACTGACAATACTTTTGATTATGTCTTTTTGTACAGTCTACATTTGTTGTTTTATGGGGAGGTGTATTACTTCCGTATAGTGTATTTCAGCTAGGTATATGGCTATGACTTTCTTAGTAGGATGTTCTTTGAAAGCAAAACCAACTCATGCCTTGCCTGCAAATCCACCTGGTAAGATGTGGATTTTCCTGTTAGCTGGGGAAAATGCAAATGGAATGGAGTGAGTTTCCAATTAGTGTCATATCAAATTGATTCCCAAGCACCTTCTAACACTGTATTAACTGTTTGTTCTTTGTAGTAGGAATTCTGTAACTTTTTTTCTTTAATTCCCCCTGATTTAGTGACTTCAAAATACTCAGCTTGGGTAACTAGGTAAGAAAAGGACCACCAACATCTCTATACTTAATGGTGAAGTGGCAAGTGAAAAACCCATCATCACAGATGACATGTGCCAGGACAGAAGAAGCACAGAATCTCAGAAAGGGCAAGGGAAGAGCATCTCAGATCAGCTGCTCTTTGCACCTGCGAATACGTGACGTATGTAATTCAGACTTGCCTCAGCCTCGATGTACGGAAACGATAACTACTTGTGGTGGCGCGTCGTGTCCGTCCCGCGGGCGCTGGGGCTCGGTGGGGCGGGCCGCGGTGCACGGCGGCGGCGGGACGCGCGGTGGCGCCTGCGGAGCGCTCAGCGCGGGGCACTGCGGCGGGATCCGGTGCGCCGGCAGCGCTGCGGAAACCCGCAACCGGGGGTGGGGGCAGAGAAACGAAAAGCAGCCCCGACCGCCGAGCTGTCAAGAGGAAAACAAGGGTCGCGTTTTAGGGTAGCTCCCGGAGTTCTCGCACATCCCCGTTTATCACCCGATGGCGAGCTCCCGTCCTGGCGGGCATGCCAGGTGCCTCTCGGCACGGTGCCTCCGTCCGCCCGGCAGGACGCACAGTCCGCACAGGCGGCGCCGCGCTGCCCATCCCGCGGGGTGCTTGTACGCCTATATGAGAGAGAGTGTGTGTGTGTTTCTGTGTGTGTACATGTACGTGCGAGGCTGAAAGCTCAAGTGCAGGCTGCCTATTGGTATCTGCTCTTCGGCACCCTCCCTTTCCCCCGCTCCCCCCTCCTCCCTCTCTTGTCTTTTTTTTCATTTTTATTTCAGGCTCATTTTGTGGAGTTTCTGCCCCTCTCTGCGTCAGCCCCACGTCACTTCGCCGGCAGCTCCCCGTCTTGGGCTGGAGCAGGAGCCGGAGCTGCTTTATTATCAGCTGGAGGGAGGGAGGAGGAGACGGTGCATAAAGGGGCGAGCGCGGAGCTCTGAGCCCCGCCGCCGCCGCTCGCTGCGCCTCCCTCGCCGCCCGCTCGCCGTCCCTCCGGCGGGCAGCGGCCGCCCGAGCCCCCGCAGAAAGGAGCGCAGCCTCCGCCACCTGCCCCCGCCGCCCCGCGCGTTTTGCAGCATCATCGGCAGCAGCCGCGGGGGCAGGCGCTGCCGCTGTCCGCCCGCGGGGCTAGGGGCAGGTGCCGCGCCGCCGGAGGCCCCGCTCGCCCCTGTCGCGGCGGCGCCCGGCTCGGGCACCCCCGCCCCGCGCAGCGCCCGGGGCGCTCCGAGCCGCGGGGCGCCGGTGGCTGCGGCTGCGGCGCGCCCATGTGAGCCCCGGCCCGGGTGCCCGCCCGCGGCGCGGAAGGCTGCGCACCCTCCGGCCGTGCGCCCCGGCTGCGGCGGCGGCGGCGGGAGCAGGCGGAGGCCGTCGGGGCAGTGCTGGGGTGAGCATGGTGTCCTGGCGGCGGAGGCCGGGGCCCGGCCTGGCGCGGCTGTGGGGCTTGTGCTGCCTGGTGCTGGGCTGCTGGCCGAGCGCGCTGGGCTGCCCCGCGTCCTGCGGGTGCAGCTCCTGGCGGATCTGGTGCACGGGATCGTCGCCGGGCATCGCCTCTTTCCCCGTGCCGCAGAGGAGCGCCGAGGGCGACAATGTTACCGAGATGTGAGTGCGGCCCGGGGCCGGGCGCGGGGGCGACGGGCCGGAGCAGGCGGGGGAAGCTGCGGGCGGGGGCGGCGGGGACTGACCCACGCCAGAGGCTTTTGCTCCGCGGGCAGATGCGGTGCTGGAAGCCTGAAAGCCCCGTGTGATTTCATTTGGACGCGGCTTGCCAGAGCTGCCGCTGCCAGCCCGTTTTTAGGTGATGAATCCCAATCGCTGGCGATGCAGGGCGCGGGGAGCGGGGCGGGGGTCGGCGCCGGCTGCGGCGGGACCGCGGGGCGGCCGGAGAGCGGGACGGGGCCGGGGCTTCGCCTCCGACCGCTGCCCCAGCTGCTGCCGCGGGTTGCGCACCGCTCAGCCCGCACCTCTGCGGCGGCAGCAGGTACGAAACGGAGGGTTTTTTCTATTTCTTTCTTTCTTTTTTTTTTTTCCTTTCTTTTTTTTCTTTTTTAACTTTCGTTCACTCAGCTTATCGCTGCGAACCGAGAGTATTGGTGGGTGGCTTGCCCTTCGCCCCAGATTTCTCCTGTTTTATATTTTTAAAAATGAAAAAAAGAAAAAAAAAGAAAAAAAAAAAGTGAAGGAAGAGATGCGCCAGAAAGTGACAGCAAACTGTCTTTCATAGCCTAACCATAGGAATGCAAACCTGCTCTGACCTTCTCAGTGGAGGTGGCTGGAAGAAAAAAATACAAAACCTGCAGAGGAATGAACATAGTGCTACTTGTCAGCAATTGGGAGGGAATTAGAGAGCACTAATTAAGCATGAGGAAAAAGTTTTTTTTCCTCTCCTTCCCGTGTGGTGCTTCCATCCTCGTTTGCCTCGAAGACAGTATCTGATGAGGGAGTTCTGCAGCTTTTTGTGTTAAATCCGGCATAGTTTCACAGTTCAGAGCACCATGACATTCATGTCCATTGCCTAAGAAAACCTCTTGCAGTGCAAAAAATTGTGGATACTGGATGTGTAGATTATAGATCTCAGGAAAAACCTTCTCAAGCTGTTTTGTTTGTATTTCCCTACCCCTGTTTTTGAATTGTTTTCTGTGATATTTAATGTAAAAGATACCAGCATATTTGCCCCAACTCTATACAGATTTCTCACTATTTGTATTCTCCATCCTTCTTCTGTTTTTCAGTGTCTTTTAAAAGAAATAAAAAAGTACTGTGAAATATGGTGTGAGTTTAGATTAAATTCTAGCCTTTGGGCTACATTCCTGCAGTTCGTTTAAGTCAATTTGCTGCATTTCCCTGCATTTGCTCAGGGAAAAGCTGGAGGCATTAATTTCTACTACTCACGTATGGCCTACCTTTGGGAGATTTTTTAGGACCTGTGACAAAGAAATGGTCTTTCTGAGTTATAACTGTTATTGATTCAGATGCTTACGTAGATTGCTTAAATAGAAAAAAAATACTTCGAGCTATGCATCTGTGATCATTTTTATAGGCTTTGGTAGCCTTTTTATCCAGTGCATTCTGTTTAGAAGTAACAGAGCAATCTTCGTCTCAAATTTAATCTCTGGTTTGAAAGGCCAGAACAGAAAACACATACTGTAAATATGTTTTCTTCCATGATGAGCTTAAAACATGTCTAGTCATTTTACATTGATACTTTTGGCTTTAATTTTTCTGGTTTTTTTTTTTTTTTAAGCATCATTTTATTTACAGTTCTTTTTGGTTTTTACTGTATCATTCTGTGACATTGCACATTGTTTTGTTTGGTGATCTAAAAATAATTTTGAGTCATGGATTTCTCAGGAGATGCTGTTGCACGTATTTAAGATGGTATTTTCATGTGTGTTTTAACATAAAATTCAGGGACCCTTTAATTAGCTTATAGACAAATTAAAAATTGAACTTCAGTAGCTGTCATATTATTTCATTGTGTGAGCTCACTAAACACTAAATACATACAGAAGCAGTTCTAATACAGTAGGTACAGATTGTCAAACTGTTTAAAACACCATAGATCTTGCTTAATTCTAGCTAAAACAGGTTTAAGAGAGTGGAGTGTTGCATTTCACTTAGCTTCAGTGTAGCTTCAGGCCTGGTTCTTCTTTTATGTGCTCTGCAGATACATTCCGTTGGTCTCTAGTGGAATTACTCCTGGTGTAAATAACATGTAAAAACTATAAGACAATTAATTTGAAGAACTTATTTGCTTGCATTTAATGAGTATCTATTGAAATCATTCCTGCACTTGTTGGTTATGTCCTGGTCTTGACAGGAGTGCATCCTGCAGTGCTAGGCAAAGCACCCACAGGCACCCATGCCACGGGTCCTGAGCGCAGTTCGTTAGCCCAGCCGCAGGCACTGGGAGCGCTGTGATAGCTGCATGGTCAGGCTGTGCATGTGAAACCCATGGTGGTGCAGAGGATTGGCTGTGGGCCAGGTGGATGGCACTGAGCAGGCAGGATGTGAGTGGGCAGCCAGGGTTTTCCACTTGGCTTTAAGAAATGGAAAAAGATGGAATGGTGCAGCAGGAATAAAGAGATGAGGTACCATGTATCTGGCAGCCTCCACCACTTAACACTCAGGTGCTTCACTGTTTTGGTCCACAAGTGGATTGTACTTTAGAGTTTATAAGCAGTCTCATCCCAGTCCAGCTATTTCTTGATTCCTGCTCAGATCCAGCATCCAAATCTATGGAGAGGTACCTCTGCATCAGCCCTATGAAGGCCAGCTGCTGAAACTTGGTGTGGGAGGGCATAAGAGTATTTATGCCTGGTGCTTTCTTAGTCATCTCTCTCACTCTTTCCCTTCCTGGCTGTTTTTGCATAGTGTTATACTACAGTAAATGAGACAGATTTGAGATATGCCTGCCTGGTTAAGATGATGGTGTGGACTGGTCTTTATCTGGAAAACAAGTATTGGTGCTTATCATAACACACTGTACTTGTAATAATTATTTGGTCACTTTAATATTATTAGAGACAAATTGAACTCCAGAGTGAGGTTCTGCATTAGGATAAATGGTATCAGTCATTGATACATTAAAAACCAAGGACCAAGAGTGACAAAAGCAAAATCACTTTATCAGTTTTGTAAAATCCATGCATTGTAGACACAATGGCAAATAAGTAGGCCTTGTCGAGATCACTCATGCAAAAATATTAATAGGATAGTAAGTGAGAAATTTTTGGAGTGGTCAGGACTTCTTGTAAAAGGACTAGTATAATATTTTCTCATTAAGGAAAATGTATTGCTGTTATATCTCAGTGTACATGACTCTTCAAATGGGTTTGATTTAAAAGCGACATCTTGCAGTACAAGTATATTCCTGGCCTAGCTTCACAGTTCTGCTATCAAGTCATTAATAGGTTTACTTATGATTATTCAGGTGAATGAGGTTTGAAATTAATTGGTGTTTTTCAGGAAGAACTGCTTGCCAACAAAATAGTAGGTGACTTTTAAGCTCTTGCCTATTAAAAGAGAGGTGATTGTGTATTGCGTACATTTCAAAACCACAAAATAAATTTCTAATGCAGTTATATAAAGCACTCTAGAATTGTTAATAAGTAAGACAGGATAAGTAATTTATAGAGTAAATTATTTAACAAGTCATGTGAGCTTGTGCTAAAAAAAAGAGCATGTTTAAATTCATTGAAGCTCAGAGCTGTTGGTATTTTGAGTCT